AAAAAAAAAAAAGAAAATTCAAAAGTTAAGGTAAAAAAGCTTGTGTTCTGGGGACAAAAGAGGATATATATATATATATATATATATATATATATCTCCAAGTAATATACGATTTGCCAAATATGATTAAATGTGTAAGATTAGAGTCATAAATAGAAGACAAGAGGTGAAAATCAAAGAAGGCTTCATAAATTCTTGGCCCTGAAAGAGGAAAGCTGAAGCTACATGGTGGTTGTAGCTTTATTAATATGTTTGCAAATTATTGTCCTATTAAATTATTCTCTAAGGATCTTTTTACTTTTGAAAAATAATGTCAGAAAACTACCAGATAATTTTCACATTTTAATTTACTAGGTAATTGATATTAGACAGTTAGTTGTCTAATGTGTTAAATGGTAAACATATTTAATAAAAATGAAAGTTAGTGAGCTACAAGCTATGTAGTATTGTATTTTTTTTTTTTTAGTTGTATGTATTTGGTACAGGATCTTACTACACAAGTTGGACTCTTAGTGATCCTCCTGTTTTGTCCTCCCCAGCACTGAGATTACAGGCGTGTACTACCATGCCTGGTCTTGGTGGCTGGCTCAGCACACCCGAGGTGGAACCAGCATGGCATGCAGTATGGGGGATAGAACTCAGGTCCTTGCGCTTGCCGAGGCAGGCGCTTAGCCCCCTGAGCTATCTCCGTGGGCCTGTAGTATCGTATTTGTAGTGTTATTTTAATATGTGTTTTATTTATCCATGGTTTGTAGGCAGCTTGGATTTTAAAAGCACGAGCTCTAACTGAAATGGTGTACATAGATGAAATTGATGTCGATCAGGAAGGAATTGCAGAAATGCTTCTGGATGAAAATGCAATTGCTCAGGTTCCACGTAAGTATTGATTCTTCAGTTAAGTTAACGCAATTCTATTGGGAGGGGAAATACTACTTACATATTGAGGGAATATATATGTAAACTTTGTGTAACTATATATAAACATCATATAAATGGGGCATATGTATATTTCTCATATATATATATGAGTGGTTTTTGCACTGCCCTATAGTACAGAGTATTTTCTTCCACCATTCAGTGATATTCTCTTTAACTTAAGGTGCAAGAATGACATATAATTTCCTTAGAAAGTTTAGTGTGTGTGTGTGTGTGTGTGTGTGTGTGGTACCAGGGATCGAACTCATGTGCTTGTGCTTGCCAGGCAGGGGCTTATGCCACTGAGCTTTATCCCCGGCCCTTAAAAATATTTTTTTGTAAAAATGCATTCTGCTTCAACTACTTATCTACTATATCAGAAGATGGTTTATTTGGGAAGGTGAGCATAGGAAGCATCCAAACAGTAGAAGGATTAAAAGGATTTTTTTAAAATTTTTATTTATTTATGTCTGTGTGTGTGTGTGTGTGTGTGTGTGTGTGTGTGTGTGTCCAGCTCAGCCCACCAGGGGGCGGGACTGGCTGGCATGTGGTGCTGGGGGATTGAACTGCGGTCCCTGTGCTTTGCTAAGCTTGTTCTAAGTAGGTGCTTTAGACCACTGAGCCATCTCACCAGCCCCTAAAAGGATTTTTATTGAAAGGATTTTTTGCAAAATAATCATCTGCAGATATCACTTCTTGGTGCAGTCTGGGATGCTTTGCTCTAATGCATGATATGAAGCCATGAGGTAATGTGCCGGGCTGTGGCTGTCCACTGGGATTGCTGCAGAGGCCCTGTCCGCAGCCTGGCAGTCCGAGGGTTGCACATACTATTGGGTGGTCACTGTGACATGTGATGGTTTTGCTGGTACCTCACTGGCTGGTACAGTTCTCAGTCAGGTGTGTGTTTTGGAAAGTAGTAATTATTTCAAAGCTTGAAGGGGAAATTGAGAAAAACATGTGCTTGCTGTAAAATGTCTTTCTTCCCTATTGCTTCTTTCACTCTTCCAGAACTAAGATATCTAAATTCTGTATGTGGTTAGTAAATGATCTTTTATTGGAAGAATATTGTATAGAAGGTTCGAACTTTGAAAATTGCTAGTCTTGATTTTGAATAAGTTGAATTTTTTTACTTTGGTTGACTTTTAAATAACTGAAAACTGGGCTGGCCAGATAGCTCAGCAGACTAAAGCACCTGCTTAGGCAGATGCAGGGACAGGCATGCCGTGCTAGCCTTGCCCCCGGGATGCGCTGAGACAGTGACTGAGACTAGGTGTGGTGACGTATGCCTATAATCCCATTACTTAAGAGGCAGAAAACAGGAGGATCACTACGAGTCCGAGCTACGTAGTGAGACCCTATAAACCCTGCACTAAATACATTAGAAAAATAAAATAAATAACTTAAAACTACCTTACTTGTAGACTTAGTGTGATAGTACATGTGATGACTTAAGTAACATACTCACTGAATATTAATCTCAAATACGTTTCCTTAAAATACATTTTCTGCTCTTAATGTCTTTTTCACCAAGACAATGCAATTCTGAAAATTAGATTACCTGACACTTGTTACAGATTAATAAATGCGTGAATTCAGTCTGCTATCTCATCTTCTAGGCCCTGGAACATCTTTGAAACTCCCTGGATCTAGTCAGACGGGAGGGCCTAGTCCAGCTATCAGGTACATGCACCTGCTCATACTCTTGGCCACTAAATTCTGATGGTATGGGGATTTTCCTCAGTTGATCTTAACAACTTGTAATCTTCACAGGCCAGTCACTCAAGCAGGAAGACCCATTACAGGCTTCCTCAGGCCCGGCACACAGAGCGGAAGGCCGGGAACCATGGAGCAGGCCCTCAGGACGCCCAGAACCACGTACACAGCACGCCCCATCACGGGCTCTTCGGGAAGATTCATCAGGCTTGGGACGGTAGGTTCTGTGACTTCCCCATACCCTTGTTTACTAAATAACTTCCTGTTATGTTATCTTTTGGGAGGTCAGCTCAGCCTTCCCTGAGGGTCGGGCTGGTGCTACATGTGGTACCTGTGCTTGCCTAAGCTTGCCTGAGCAGGCTTTTTAAAAATCCTCTGCTCCATCTTTCCAGCCCCACTTCCTGTTATTTTATATAGCTCTCCACAGTTATACTGCAGAATTACGGGGACATTTTGGGGATGATTCTTTTTCACTTATGTTGCCTTTGTAGTTTGCATCTGTGTTTCAAGAGCGTGCTTCACATCTTCTGTTGTGTCATTTCTTTCACAGGCCTCGATGCTTACAAGTCCTGATGGACCATTTATAAATTTATCTAGACTGAATTTAACAAAATATTCCCAGAAACCTAAATTGGCAAAGGTATGTATTTATAATGTTTTTGAATAAAATGATCTAGGAAGTATGATGGTAATAACGCAGTATAAAATAAAAATGTGTGAAGGAAACGCTGTTTTAAAAATTTTTTATCTTTTAAAGAGAGTACAAAGTGGCATTAAAATGGAAAAATTACAAATGGTACAGAATCTCACTAAGAAAATAGCATGAATTTCCCAATATTCGTTGTATTGCATAGTTTTGGTTTCAAATTAGTTGTTCACTATGTCTTGAGTGAGATGGAAATGTTCAGTCGCTATGATGTGTAATTTTCATTGATCAGAAATAAAGTACTCAGGCTTCATTATGGGAAATTATTACAGGAACTTACATTTTTCCAGTAAAGAGCAGCAATTTTGCTAGGCATGGTGGCACATGCCTGTAACATTAACAGTAGGGAAACTTAGGCTGTAGGATCACTGTGGAGTGGAGGTCAGCCCAGGCCACGGAGTGAATTTAAGTCCAGCCTGAGCTACATACTGAGAGCTGTCCCAAAATAAAATAAAAAAGCAGTTTTTAACAAAGAAAGCAGATATACGTGTCATATTTATAAAATTAATCTGAAGGAGTTATGTGTGTATACATATATATATATATATATATATATATATATATTTTTTTTTGCAGAACCAGGGATTGAACTCAGGCCCTTGCACTTGCCAGGGAAGCGCTTATTCCACTGAGCCGTCTCCCTGGCACCTGTATGCATATTTTTAATCTTGGAGTTTAGTCTCAGAAAAGTCATTTTCTATCCATGCTGTATTTCATGCCTGGGTAATAAAAGTATATATTCTTTATTAGTCATTAATCATGCATCTCAGGAATGATCATTCAAACCAGACACTGGCCAGCCAAACACACTGATCATTGTAATTACTTGGAGATTTAATATTAGTTTAAAGAAGACATTAGAGGTAGAGGGAAAGAAGATAAAAGAAGGAGAGGGGTGAAGGAGAAGAGGAGAGAAAGAAAATGAGTTTTCCATGCCTTTCCAGTAAGGATGTGGGGCGAGCCTGGCATAATTCAGACACGGGAGCCCTTATTTTCCGGCCAGTGGTAAATCCTTGCCTGAGTTTTAGTTCAGGTCTCTGAACTCTTGGCGCGTGCTGAGCTCATTCTTGATCTAAGTTCTTAGCCACAGTCCAGTTGTACCTAAATGTGGACACTGGTCATACAGACTTGAAGTTTAAATTTGAAAAAGAAATGCTGTTTGGCAGACAGGTAGCTGGCCTATACTCATGCTGATGACTTTTTTCTTAAATTCTTTTTTGACTGCAATCTGATCAACTGCATTTAGCAGAATTGTAAAGCTTTACTTATTTCCTGTTCCTGTATGAGAATAGAATATTCAAAGGAACTCATGCAGGCCGTTTACTCGGGGTGACCAGCTGGCTAGTTGGTGCCATTGCTCTGTTTAATGAGTGCAGCTACTGGTGGCATTTCCCTCAGTGAAATTAGATGCATACAGGACAGACCTAGTCTCTGTGCAAGGTTTAGTGTGAGTACATTTTGTGCTTTTTTAGTGTGCTCTAGAAATAATGTCAGATGGTCCTGTCTCGGGCCCCAGCTTGCCTGGCCCCATCAAGATTCCTTTCTTGTGTAGACGTGTGTCTGTGGTGATGCACTGAGCTTGACTTGGGTGCTGTCACATCTTTTCCATGGCGCTGCTTCACCTACTGCACCTTTACTTTTTTTTGATAATAGAACAAATAGAAAGATTGCTACAGTTTTTTCTTTTCAAAAAGAAGAGCCTTGTCCTTGCTTAGTTTTTTCTTTATTGGCTGCCTTCAAGTCTTTTCTGTTAATAACCTTGCTATCTTCCTTGTCTCTGGGCAAATATAAAATAATAGTTCTGTGGATAAGTAGTACCATGGAGAGGTAATCCAATAAATGCTTATTGATCCGGATAAGTTGGGTGAAGCTTTAAAAATCACGGATCTCAAGAAAAAAAAAATTAAAAAAAATCATGATTCTCAGTCCTGGTTGTACATCCAGGTGCTTTACAAAATATACGGCCAGGGGCACATGGTCTCCCTTCACACTAACATCTGAATTAGGGGACTGCTCTGTGATCCCCATATAATTCCAGTGAGGTATGTTGAGTAACTCCCATTATAGAAAGCTGAGCATCCTGAGTCACTGAGTTTCTGTAAATTCTGTGTGAAGAGAAAAAACTGTAGGAGTTAAGCCGATATCTGTCTGTCTGTCTGTCTGTCTGTCTGTCTGTCTATCTATCTATCTATCTATCTATCTATCTATCTATCTATGCTACTTTACACTTACATTCTGCTTTATCTCAGAAGGAAGTTCTAGATTTTCCCTATCTATATTGTTGTTATTGAATCATAACCACTGTAAGTGCAGAGTAGACAAGTTGACTGAATTTTTTTTTTTACCAAGATTAGTCTTTACAAATAAACTGTTCATTTGTCTCCTTCTAATGAAATAGTGTATATAATATGAAGAGTCAAAAAACCTCAACTCACCATCCAGCATAAAAGTATAAAAACGAGGTATAAAAAGTAAAGCCATATTAATATGCTGAGCTGTAAAAGATTCAAGTGAACAACTTCTGACATTGCCAGTCCTACAGATAACCCACTACTATTATGGACTACTGGACTATATTAGATTATTTTGCTGAATTCACCACTTACAGATTTAAATAACAGTGGAATATCCATCTCTGACGAAACTAAACCAAAAAAAAGGGATACAAATGAAGGACCATTTTGTATTTGTATATACAAAATAATTAGGATAGATTTACAGCTACTTTCTCTTAATTCAATGAGAAGAGCAATTTGTACTAATATTGTTGAGACAGGATATCATGTCTGCATCTTGTACTATGAATAACTACTAAAAAGACAACAATATGCCATGATTAATTATTGTAACTGTCCTACTAACCTACTTTGAAACGGTCTCATTGCTATTTGTTTCTCAATAAAATTAATTAAAAAATAGGAATGTGATAGCTTGGTTAACTACTGCCGATTTCTTTTTTTTTTTTTTCACGTAATTTTATTGAGAAACAAATAGCAATGAGACCATTTCACACCGAATTGTTAGGACAGTTTCAATAATTAACACATTGCATACTGTCTTAGTTACTTTTTACTCCTTGCTGGGACAAATACCCAACACTCAAAATGAAGGAAGGAAAGATTTATTTAGCTCACAGTTACTGGAGGGTTTAGTCCATATTCAACCGGCTCCAAGGCAAAAAACAGCAGTTCATGCAGCAGAAAACAATGAAGAGCAGAGGAGGAGCAGCAGCTGCAGCGGCGTCCATCAAGCCTCTCTATTCCTTCTGCGCTGACTGCGAAGACCAGTGTTCCACAGTGAAGATCGGAGCTCCTCCAAAGTGGCGTGGCTGTCAAGATCAAGCTCCTCCGAAGACTGAGATTTCCCCACCGAAAAGACTGAAAAGACTGAGATTTCTCCACGGAAGTGGGGCGGGAGGGCAGGAAACCAGGCAGGGCAGCTTCCTGCCCACCTGCAGGGCGAGGCCCCCATGCTGAGAACTGCCGGAGCTGATTCAGCCAAGTTGACGCAATGTATCAACTAACACAATCCACCCCTTGTCAACTTGGCCACTAGACATATATTTTTTTAAGCCAATTTCCAGGTACACAGATATGCTTAAACACTTTACAAATTGAACACTTCATTACATTAGAACCATGACATGTTACCCCTGGCCCTCCAAAGACTCATGCACAACCGTTTATGTAAAAGACATTTTAGTCCATCTCTAAGAGTTGTCAAAGTCCTACCAGTTTCAGCAACACTGAAAAGTCCAAGTCCCAAGCTTCCAAGATCTAAGGCAAACTCTTAGCTATGAGCCCCTCTACAAATGAAAAGTTAAACACTTCTAATATTTATAGGCATATGATAAGCATTGCCATTTTAAAAGGGATACATAGCAAGATACAAACAGTTGGGACCAAAACAAGTCCAAGGTCCCGAAGGACAAATGTTAAGTCCTGTAGTTCCCTGTGGACCATCCAAAGCACCCTGTAATGAGTTGTGAGCTCCAAAAGCCTTATGTGGCTCCACCCCTATGGCACTTCTGCTGGTAGCTCCTATGGCTTTTCTCTCAGGCCTGTTTTGCTCCCTTTTTGCAGCTTTTCTTAGACCATCCACATTTCTGGCTTTTTCAAACTTCTGAGGTTTCCACTGGATAGGCTTCTCATTTCCAGCTTCACACACTGCCCTGTCAGGCCTCCCAGGCCTTCTTCTGAAATCTAGGTGGAAGCCTTTTGAACCTCAGAACGTCTACATTCTACATGCACCTACAACCAAAGCCACATGGATGATGCCAAGGGCTGCCGCCAGCTGGAGCAGTAAGCAAGCTTTTTTCTCTCTTGACTGTAGGAGTTGAGTGCCTGGATTGCTGAGCATTTTGACTCTGATTTCGAGGAACAAATTCTCTACATTGGCGCCATTCTGTAATATGGTGTGGCTGCCACCTCCATTTTGGAACCTGGTGTGGCCGCTGCCTCCATTCTGGAACATGGGGCTCTGCGGCTTTTTCCTCAGAGCAAAGTCCCTCACCCTTGCCATTCTAAGACTGCAAAGGGCAAGAACCTGCCACCTCCGGTGATGCCCTCAGGACATCTTTTTTACTCTCCTGTTCCTTCTTAGCAATGGAGATCCTCTCAGCTTTGTCTTCACAGTCCACAGACTGCTTGGGGCTTCCTTTTTGGCCAGACTCACAACATTTTAAATCATCCTTTTGGGCTTTTTGCTCTTTATTCTTAACATAAATCTGGCTAAAAGCCCCCAACAACAACCACACCACTGCCCCAATATTTGGCTGCTTTGAAATATCTTTTGCCAGATTGATCAGTCTGCCATGCTTAAAGTCAGTCTCAGGCAAAGTCTCTGGACACGAGCAAAATGCAGACAACTTTTTTGCCAAGTCAAAACACAGATGATCTGGAGTCTAAAAACCAGTGCAGTCCTTCTTCCCAGCAGAAACCTCCCCAGCCTGGTCTTTACAGGCCGGCTTTCCATCAACCTTCTGGTCTTCTGAGCTCTGACCAGAATCTCCCATACAGAACAGCCGAAGCTGTTCCAGGCTTCGCGTGTAGGTGACATCTCTGAACCTTTCCTATCTCTTCCCATAAGCCATTGCCAAAAGCTTGTAATCCACATTGTCAGGTATAGCCACAGCAATGACCCCACTCCTGGTACCAAATTCTGTCTTAGTTACTTTTTACTCATTGCTGGGACAAATACCTGACACTCAAAATGAAGGAAGGAAAGCTTTATTTAGCTCACAGTTACTGGAGGGTTTAGTCCATATTCCGCTGGCTCCAAGGCAAACAACAGCAGTTCATGCGGCAGAAAACAGTGAAGAACAGAAGAGGAGCAGCAGCTGCGGTGGCATCCATCAGCTCTCTCTCTTCCTTCTGCACTGACTGCGAAGACCAGAGCTCCACAGTGAAGATCTGAGCTCCTCTGAAGTGGCGTAGCTGCTGAGATCAAGACTGAGATTTCTCCACAGAAGTGGGGTGGGAGAGCAGGAAACCAGGCAGGGCAGCTTCCTGTCCACCTGCAGGGCAAGGCCCCCATGCTGAGAACTGCCAAGAGCTGATTCAGCCAAGTTGACACAATGTATCAACTAACACACATTCTTCCTAGTGGTTAATTGCTGTACAAGATGTGGACTTGATATCTTATTTACAAACACCATTAGAGCAAATCCCTCTATTCATTAAGAGAATGTAACTATATATCTATCCTAACCACTTTGAATACACAGATACAAAATGGACATTCATCTGTATACCTTTTTTTTTTTTTTTGGTTAAGTTCCATCATTTAAATATTATAGGTGTGTAAACTCAGCAAAATATTCTAAAAGATACTTCTGATTTCTACTGGTTAAATTTATGATTTTTTTATAGATATGAAACTACAGTGGTTCATGTTAAACAAAATAAAATGACAAAGATACACTGAAAAAACAAACTTAATTCTTTGAGTTTTCTAGTTGATAGTCTGTAAGAACAGGAATCAGTTGTAAATGACAGCATTTGAGAATGGATAATTCTAACAAATAATGACTAGGTCTTTTGCTTATGAATCTCAGATACTTTAGAGTATATTAATTTTTTTAATTCAATTGAGCTTTGATAAAACAATAAATTTCTTTATTAGAAAAAACTAAGTGTATTTGTCATTTTTTTTCCACAGGCTTTGTTTGAATATATCTTTCATCATGAAAATGATATTAAGACGGTAAGTAGTGAATTCATTTTATTATTATTTTTTAAATTGTAATTTTTCTGACTTTGTGGATTTAGTTGTCCAAATACTTTAATTCTTGCCCTATATATAAATGGAATTACTGAAGATTGGAGAATTACTAGCAAGGTAAATCCACTTTCAGTTTCTGTGCAATAATTTGTCTGGATTGAGTGTATAGTTCTTCATTAAACGGCAAGATAAAGATAATTAAGAATACTACATAACATGCTATGTTAAAGTTTATTCTTTACACTAATTGTTAGCATTATTGTCCATTTTTCTTCAGTCTGTATAGTCATTAGATGTTTATTAATATGCATGTTTCTGGCTTCTTTGTCATGTGCCCATCTCTCCTACCTTTATTATTTTATCATTGAAGATTTCACGTATAAATATAGAGAAAATAGTATAAAGAACCTGAGTCACCATCATCCAGGTTCAGCAATAGTCTGTCATCTTGGTAACTTCTTGAAAAAGAATTTTGAGGTTATATTGTATGTGACTTTTCAAATTTGTTTCAGTTTTTACATGCTCACATATGAATGAGCAGAACTTCATGAATTTTGTTAGATACTATGAAGTTAATTCTGTAGTGTCTGAGTTTTCTCATTTCTGTTTTAATTCAGGAAAAAAAATACCCCTTATATCCATTTGTTAAGTATTCAGGAAAACAAAATGTTTCCTCAGTTGTGTTTTCTGTGTGTTAGCCACAGCGCAAATCCACCAGGAGAACTAATAAAAATGTCATACAATTAGCTGCCTTTCCCAACCATGCAACCTAGCTGAGGAAATCAAATTGACAAAAATGAAACAATTAAAGAAGTAATTGCCAAACCAAAATTATCACCGACCAGGAAACCAGGAAAGGGGAAAAATTCAAAAGGGATAATATTATTAAAGATATTAATAAGGGATAATATCATTAAAGATCCATAAATAAGGACTTCCTCCTGGCTACCTTCAAGGACCCTCGGTGACTCTCAAGCTATGCAATGGAGGCAGTGACCATGGAAGATGTAGCTGTTTACTTCACCAAGGAGGAGTGGGCTCTGCTGAAGCCAGCCCAAAGGAAGCTCTACAGAGATGTGATGTGGGAAACATTTAGGAATGAAGAAGTTTGGATGAACAGCAAATTGAACAAGAGCACAAAAATTCCTTAAGGATTATAAGAAATGAAGATGCACAAAAACGCTATCAATTTAAAGCTTGGAATCAACAAAAAATACTCATTTGGACTCCAGATGATAATACACAACAAACTGCTTTAAAACCAAGTGCAAGGCTTGCTTGTAGAAAACCCTTGATTGGGCATTTGAACCTAAATGTCATACCTCACCCGCAACTGAATCCAGATAATTATTTGGAATTTGACGAAAAACTGTGTAAATGCAATAAACATGGAAAAACCTGCAGCAATATTGAATTCTTTCAGAAACAAGAAAGAGAGAATCAATATGATCAATATAGGAAAGGCTCCTCTGATCTTAGAGAACAAACTTACCTTGGAGAGAAGACATTTTTAGGTAAGAAAAGTATGCAGACCTCCAGCACGCCCAATGGTGTTCAAATGCATGAAAACAATCATAGAGAGGGAAATCCTTGTGGAAAAGCTTTTGTTTCTTTCTACCATATTCAAACACATGAACAAAAACATAATGAAGAGAAGGCTGATATATCTAAGGTATATATGAAAGCTCTGGCTCATGGTAATTCCTTTCATAGACACACAAGAATTCACACGGGGAAGAAAATGAATGTATTTAATCAATGTGGAAAAGCATTCACTGTTAAATCCACATATCATAGACATAGAACATCACATACTAGTGCAAAACTTTATCTGTGTAATCAGTGTGGGAAAGCATTCTCTAGACAGCATTATTGTAAAGTACATGAAAGAAGTGATGCTGAGAAGGAAGCCTATGTTAGCAAGGAATGTGGGAAAGCATTTACTGCACAGAGTAGTTATGAAATACATGGAAGAAAGCACTCTGGCAACAAACCAAATGCAAGTGAGAAAAATGAAAAAGGATTTACTGATAAGTCTGCATATAGACGTACAAAATCACACATTGGTGAGAAACATTATGTATGTAAAGAATGTGGAAAAGAATTTAAGGATAACTCCACATATCGTACACATACAAGATCCCATACTGGTGAGAACCCCTATGTATGTAAGTACTGTGGCAAAGCATTCAGCAGACACAGTCATTGTCAAAGACATACAAGACCCCATACTGGTGAGAACCCCTATGTATGTAAGTACTGTGGCAAAGCATTCAGCAGACACAGTCATTGTCAAAGACATACAAGACCCCATACTGGTGAGAACCCCTATGTATGTAAGCAGTGTGGCAAAGCATTCAACACACACAGTCATTGTCAAAGGCATGAAAGAGTTCACACTGGGGAGAGGCCTTATATATGCAAAGAGTGTGGGAAAGCATTCACTACAAAACAGCATTTTAAAATATATGAAAGAATTCACACTGGGGAGAAACCCTATGTATGTAAACAATGTGGGAAATCTTTCATCCAACAGACTAACTGTCATATACATGAAAGAATTCACAGTGGTGAGAAACCTTATGTATGTAAGCACTGTGGAAAAAGATTTGCTGATAAGTCCACACTTCGTAGACATAGCAGATCCCACACTGGAGAAAAGCCCTATATGTGTAAGCAATGTGGGAAAGCATTCAGCACTCTCAGTCACTGTCGAAGACATGAAAGTATTCACGGTGGGAAGAAGCCTTAATGTGTGTGATCCATGTGGGGAAATACACAACTACAAAGAATTATTTTCAAATACATGAAAGAAGTCACACTGAGGAGAGTTTCTATGCGTATCAGTAATGTGAGAAATCTTCAGCCCACTGAGTACTTGTCAAACACATGAAGGAATTCACTGGGGAAAAACTGTATGTAATGCATGTGAGCAAACATTCAGTAAAAATAAAATTTTCCGTTAAATACATAAAAAAAAATCCATAAATAAGGATTTTGTGGAAAGGAGGAAAAAGAAATGTTAAAAAAAAGGCAAAACATGAACAGAGTACAGAATGAGAAATAAACAGGCTTTATTTCCCAAATATCAGCACCAAACAGATTTTTTTTAAAGTGACAGAATTTGCTGATAGATTTGATATTGGGAACAAAGGGAAGGGACACAGGTCAACTCTGCCTCCTGAGGATCTTAGGAGAATGATGGCTTTGCTAACAGAAATGGGGTACTAGGTGAAGGCAGTTTGTAAGGAAGCTGGGCTATTCCTCCAAAGGCATTTTGAGTTTGAAGTTACAAAAAGCTACCCAAGTGGAGATACTCCTGGATGTACCAGGAAATCTGGCATTAAAGCGCAGGGGAGGGCCCAGGGCAGGTACACAAGATGGTAGTTGCCTATGATGAAATATTTGCAGATGTGGTTCTGTATGGGGAAGAGGAAGCAAAGGTAGAGACAACTGAGAAATCACACACATTTCTGTAAATACAAATTGTTGCTTTTAATTACTATGATAGAGGCTTTCAATGGGATGATATGTAAAAATCATATAGTTCCCAGTCATTAAAAGAAAAAAAAATATATGCATATACAAAATAATTAGGATATACAACTATCTTCTATTAGTTCAATGAGAGGAAAGGTTTGTACTAATATTGTCTAAACAAGATATCATGTCTGCATCTTGTCCTCTGAATAACTAACTACTATGAAGACAACAATATGCAATGTATTACTTATTGTAACTGTCCTAACCCATTTTGAAACTGTTTCATTGCTATTTTTCTCAGTAAAATGAATAAACAATTGAAAAAAGACAACCAAATGGAATATCTAAATAAATAAATCTAAAAACAAAACAAAAAAGAAACATTAAAATTGTATCCATTTCATAAATGAGTAAATCTCTAATTACTGCATTATCATAAAGCTATACTCTTGTTTTTCTGAAGATTAACTCATTGGTTGAAGGGTCATTTATTCTTTTATCCAATATTTTTGTGTTTTGAGCCACGGCACCGTAACAGTCCTGAGCTCACAATGGAGGCATGCGAGCAAAATTTCCTGGTTGGGTGAGGAATAGAAATAATAAAAAATTAAAATTGCATAAAATGTTATGGGATTAAAGCCACTGTCACAGCAAGACAGCAAGCAGGAAAGCAGGCAAGGGGATAAGAGCTGACATGGAGGAGATGCTGTTTCGGAAGGAGTGGGGATGGCCAGTGAGGTCTAACTGAAAAGATGGTATTAACAGAGACCCAAAGAATGGGGGCTGGTGAGATGGCTCAGTGGTCTAAGGCACCTACTTAGAACAAGCTTAGCAAAGCACAGGGACCGCGGTTCAATCCCCCAGCACCACATGCCAGCCAGACCCGCTCCCTGGTGAGCTGAGCTGCCCCTCCCCACATATAAATAAATTAAAAAAAGAATTTAAAAAAACAGAGACCCAAAGAAGGAGAACAGGGCCCCGCAGTTCTGTGTGAGGAGCATTTCCAGCTGTGAGAACTTGCCCTGCAGAGGCCATTTTGGAGCATGATGGGGTTGTGTGAGGAACAGCAAGAGGCCAGTGTGGCTGGAGCAAGTCCTGCGAGGAGGCTGGGTTCAGGATGAGGCCAGAAGCTCCACCGGTCATGCACCATTCTGTAGGTCGTGGTGATGCTGTCTTTATTAAAAGATTCACTTTGAAGATATCAATATGCAGCTTGGAATCTACATAATGCTGAGGAATAGGAACCACACTGGGAAAAAGAGTCAGGACCAGAGTATGTGGAGCTCAGTGGTAGAGTACATGCTTATCATGTGTCAAGCCCTGGCTTCAGTCACCAGCACCAAACCAGACCAGGCCAGACCAAACCAGACCAGACCAGGCCAGGCCAGGCCAGACCAAACCAAACCAGACCAAACCAAACCAAACCACTCCTAAGGACAGTAAATGCAGGTAGTATTCCTTGTGCTATTGGATTTACATACTGAAGATTTTAAGAACTA